CATTCAGATATACAAAGGAAAGGTGACCTCTCATACACTTTTACAACCTCTAAACAAAGGTAGTTTATCATATTCTATCCCACAATAACCCACGTCTCCTAATAAGCCCACCTTGATGCATTTTTTGTTCTGTAGTGTGAACAATGAATACATCAGATCTGGACTATACTTTTATTGTTCATATACACAGTGATAGCAAGCACTTTACAGTATCATGTGAGGAAAAATTAAACATGAGGCCTAGTGGCCTTGACGGTCACCTGAGCAATATTGAATATAAAGATTTTTGAAATCTTAGTCAATTCAACTCCTTTTGGCCCTGCCTCAGGCCCCTGGAGTGTGGGGACTGTATAATTCACAATGTTTGTTTATCTTAGGCCCGGGACAGTTTCTGCAAAATTTCATTGAGAAGAAGTCGAAAGTGTTTAGGATGCAAGACGCCGGTTAAAGGGTAATAGAATAGGTCACCATGAGACACCCAAAAACCCTAACAAAACCGCAGACTGCACATGTGATTGTCTTCAACAGTTGCTTGCAGCATGGAATGAGAAATTTCAACTTTCTCACGTGGAAATAAAAACATACTAATAATAACTTGAAATAAATTTTACAAACATATACATTAATGCATACTTGAAATGCAGGTTGCCAAAAACCTTGTCGAAATAAATACAACTTTAACTAATCAAGATTTCCTGTTCACCTGATTTCAAGTTGAAAGGTCAGGGACCATCTTCACTCATCTAGAAATGTATAGTTTCTTCCATGGAAAGTAACACAGGTTTCTGATTTAGCATGAAACTAGTTGTATTTTTATTGCCTTGTCTACAAACTGCAATCACATTATTAGGATGTATTTGCAATATTTGTTTGAATTTGATATTTATACGTTTACGAAAAAAATAAATTCATTTCTAATAATGTATAATCAACTTGAGTGAAGCCAGCAAACAGGCAATTAGAAACTATATACATAGTATATATCTATATATGTTTCTTTTTGATCAAACTATGCTCACTTTCGGCAATAATTATTTACCATTATTTAAGTTAATTGATCAGTTTTCACATTTCTAAAACCTTGATTTTAGGGTTGAGAAGAAATTTCAACAAACCAATGTTACAGTATAGTAGTATGGTCCTGTAATAAGCCCACTCCCTGACCTTTGACTTTGAATCAGAAGTTTTATGATGGCTCCCTGGGTCCTGTAATAAGACCATCTCTTGACTCTGAATCAGAGGTTTTGTGATGGCTCCCTGGGTCCCTTAATAAACTAACCCCTTGACCTTTGACTTTGAATCAGAAGCCTTGTGATGGCCCCCTGGGTCCTGTAATGAGCCCATTCGTTGACTTTGAACCAGACATTTTGTGACAGTTTGCTGGGGCTCTGAAATAGGCCCACCCCTTGACTTTGAATCAGAGGTTTTGTGACAGTTTCTGGGGGTCATGTGAAAGGCCCATCCATTGATTTTGATTCAGAGCTTTGTGATGGCCCCTTCTGTTCTGTAATAACCTTACGACTGGCCTTATTACAATAAAAACAGTGCTACAATTTATAAAAAACCAGTCAATCTTCTATATTTGAAATTCGGGAGAAAAGTATGTATCAAAATTCCAAAAACTTACATATCATGCCCTATATGACAAGATTGAGGTGTACAACATTTGTTTCCAGTTAAGCATCATATAACTTCAGTATGGATAAAACAAAGTTAAGCGTCATAGAACCGTAGTGTTAATGGTTTTGAAGAGGTATACTCATGACTCATAAAATAATACTGAAGTTCTGCCAGCAGAATCCATAGTAAAGAATCTTGGAGGGGGGACCCAGTGAAATTCTGCCTACTGATTCCCCCAAAGTTAAATGGCAATAACCTTGGAAAAATAAATAAACCATAACAAAACCAGAATTTGACCGGCACATAACTGATTTACAACTAAATAGAATCAGATCTATGTCTGTAGGTAAGCAGAAACAAAGTGACACATAAGGGTAATACTGCATGCCTTGACCATGACAGGGGTATAAAATAGTGTGAAGAAAATCAGAAGTATTGATGGGTATGTATACATATGTATTGATGTATAGATAATGGAATATTTTTGAATTGATGTAAAATTAACACGCTGACTTTATATAAATGTTAATTATCAAATCTACTAGAAAATGCTTGAATGAGAAGCATATGGCACCACCATAAGCAGCAAATCTGTTCTTTTCAAGAATGCAGAAAAAAGTGTTACAAATGAAAATCGACACCATTGTGTAAGACAAACAAAAGAGTTAAAATAAAATTACTACTAAAATATAGGAAGTATATGCTGTATTACTGAGACGTATTTGGTGAAGCTTTTCACACTGTCGAATTTGGTTATTTTGTAAATAAGCACGAAGAAACAAGACACATCAAACTGCTTAAATATAGAAAACATATAAAATACATGATTTAAGGATGACAAGATTCTAACACACATTAAATAATCACAGCCTTAAACAATTGTAAAAGTCTTCAACAGAAATCTTCAACTCCACATCTTATCTAAAATAATGTTCTAAATTCTTTTCAAACAAATATTTTGTTTGAAAAAATACTGAAATGAAAATGAAATATACTTAAGAATTTCCACTATAGTTTTATACTTTAAAAAAAGCACACTTCAAATGAAATAAAACGTTAACATTTTTTGTAAGAAGTCGGAGGCCCTATTTTTTCTCCTTTTGCTATTATGGCCTTGTACATTTAATATACTGGATTTTTTGCACTGGAACAACAACATACTTTACTTTGGAAAATATATCTCCAATAAAAGCAGAAGTTAACACGTTTGCACTCATAATGTGACTGGTACAAGCTCACACACAATATGATTCAATCATGGGAGATAACTCTGGTCAGTAAGTTATGCTATTACTGATATCACTGAAACAGCACCCTGTTACTGCTAGGACTGCATGTTAAATCAAACATCTTTAGCATTGTTTTAATTTTACTGTTTAGTTATGAAAGAAATATAAAAGTTTATTCACGTTAAAACTAACAAAGAATGATTCAGGGGTCATTTGGTCCTCAATGAGTCTGTCATAAGGTATCTTGTTGTGTCCTAACAAAGTTTCTGGGAATTTTACATACAAACCTGCCTACTAAGTGTAAAAATGTCGTCCTGATTATTGTACATAGTTACAGTGATAAAGCTGACCCATGAAAAATTAAGAGTCACTTTTAAGTGTTTTAACAAAAATTAATCAGGTCATAGAGTTTGCCACTAGGATTTTGGCCACGATTTTGGTTTTTGTTAAATTCTGTTAAATCATAATCCAAAAAACTCTGCCATCAATATGGCACCTTTCAAGTATGTCTCTTTTTTATGCGGTTGAAAAGATTTGTGAGTGAGAGTGAGAAATTAAATGAAATGACCAGTCACATGACACATGTGACATCAAAGTGTTACTTTGACTGACTGGCTAATATGTTAACAGTAGTGCAGAAGGCAGGCACTTCTCATATAATCCCATACTTTTGTAAAACCCTTGATTAGCAGTGAAATATTTTACTTAACCTAAACACTACTTATATTTCTATACATACTCGAGTAAATATAACTATTAAAATAAAACAAAATTAGTTGAATAACCATATCACAGGATTGTGAGTCAGCAATGTTCAATCATATATACATCTCTGTGTATGTGTTTAGGTCTATAACAGCTTTTCTTGTTATAACATAACTTTCTGATATAACATATCACACAATTATACAGATATTTTATTAAAAGATTCTGCATTGAAAATATGCATATTCACCTTGCTAAGCTAAAGGAGCTGTACCAGCTTTTGTGGTCAGAGAGACAGGATACTGCAGAATATATATATATTATTGCATTATATTAGACTGGAATATTGAATTATGAAAAATCGTGGTCAAAACCCTTTAAATTATTAGCAAACATTCCTTGTCAGTGCATCTAAGTCTTTGATACACTGTAACTATAACAATGAAAAAAAGGTGTCAGATATAATAACTGAGTTACTTTAAGTAATTTGAATTGTAGACAAATTACAAAAGTTTTCGTTAAGTGTTAGAATAACAAGCTCATCATAAAGACTGAGTCTTATCTTTTAAAATCAGGTAAAAGTATGTACATTGTCTGTCTTTGTCCATGCTGTCTTCTCTCTGCTCTGTCTGTCCATTGTCTGTTTCTCTGTGTGTATGTTTTTATGTTATGCCTATCATTTTGTTATGTTGGGCTTTCTTTTCCCTCTGTCTTTATGTCTGTCTTTTTGTCCTCTTTGTCTCTTGGTAAGTATGTTTTTCTTGATCAGGAATTCAAAGTCTTTACTCGAACAGCTTAAAAACAGATGTCCATTCAAGATTTTAGGTAACAAATTATACACAGAATACTAGGGTTTTCCTTAGACTCTTGGTAAAAAGAACTTATGTTGAAAAATAGAGCATGTTCAATAGGAAAAGTTTACAGGAAGTTGTAACATGGAAATTCTACATACTCTTATAGCTCTGTTCACTATCATACATAAGACTTGAACATTGTTCAATACCATACATAATACTTGAACATTATTTGATATCAACATTATATTTGAACATTGTTCAGTATCATATAAAATACTTAACATTGTTCAATATCAAATGTGATAGCAGAACATTAATTCGATTACATATGTTATACATTGTTCAATACCATACATTGTACTTGAACATTGTTCAATATTATATGTAACATGTACTTGAGCATAGTTCAATACCATAAAACTATGTGATACCTGAAAAATTGTTCAATATCTTATTAGTAATACTTGAACAATGTTCTATATCATATATAACTCTTGAACAATGTTCTATATCATATATAACTCTTGAACAATGTTTGTATAAATTTTCCCCATGATTCATTATATATTGTAATGATTTAATGTAGACATCAACAAAAAAAACTCTGTAAAAGAAAGTGCCTGATATTGTAGATAAAAACACCATTCTTTGTCGCATAACATCTCCTCTAAAATGACTTTGTTGAATTATAAAAAAGTTCAAAATTTTTTAATTAGCTGTTTTGTGTATGTCACGTAAGGCTGAACAGATTTGTGTAGCAGAAGGGTCAGGAAGGACAAAAGAAACATCAGCTTTTTTTGTGTTTCCGTTTCTTTGAAGCTGTAGGATTGAGTTTTACAATGTCTCTGTCATCTGTATCACATGTGTTGATTCTTTCCTCAATCTTACACCGACAAATTGGACAAATTTCTAACTGTATTGAACATTTGTAGCAGAAACCCCTGAAACAGAACATTAGACAGAATGAAATCTTCAGCAATGTGCCAAACAATATTATAAGGAGAACTTACATAACATTTGAAATTAGAGACACCAAATTACATTAACATTTTCAATCATTTGTCTTATAATCACTTAAGTTTTTACAGAATAATTTTCATCATACATTGCCTCTACTTTGCAAACATTGATTTAATATTTCATTTTCATTAATTTATATCTTTTTTTACATATCCATAATGGTGCAAATAATGTGTGTTGAACACAACATACACAAACTTACATATGGTTACAAGGCAATAGACTCTGTGTGGCTTTGTTGTCAAAACAAAGTGTACATGAATCTTCATGTACTTTTAGACTCTTCAACAGCTCCAACTTTTTATGCCTGAGAATATATAAGTAAATAAATAAGAAGACATATAAGACATGAGAAGACATGATTAGTGAACTTTATGAACCAAGTCTGAATAGAATTCAATATAGGGCTCAAGAGTAACAGATTTCCATCCTAAAACTTGAGTGACTTGTTACCATTGCAGCCAAAAATTTTCATAAAAGAATGTTTAAAATTCCTAAGTATTATGAACATCTGTCCAGCATTTTCTGAGAAACCCTGCAGGGGGAAGCTGAGGTATATAGACAGATAGACACTGGACCCTAAAAATACATCAACACCTCTACAATCAATGGAAATGATACCAAAAATTATTTAATTCTACAATAAATTTGATTTTCAAAAACAGAAATATTCTTAAACTATACATTATTTATTTGTTATAAAGTTTCAGATATTGATTGTTTGAATCAATTTTCCTAGGGAAGTTTTCTATTAGGTCACCTTGGTAATATAACTTTTTCCTCATCTGACAGAAAAGCATGGTCATTAAAACTCTTGAACTTCACATCATCTAGAGGAGGATACTTGTAAGGCTTTTTGGCACCAAAGTTGAATTCACATTGCTGGTAAGACATGAAGCTAGCAGCAGCAAAAAATCCTCCCCTGAAAATTCATGAACATACAATCAACATTTTCAAGCAAATTCAAAAAAAAAAAAAAAAAAAAAAAGATTATTCATTTTCCTGTTTTGAAATGAATTGACTATGAAAAGGCAGTTTTAAATTGTCTAGATCAATTCTGTGTTTACTAATGGTGTTAACACATATAACTCTACACAGACTTACACATCTTACTATTCTGTAAGTGTTCATTGTCAAACTTGATCTAATTAATTGAATTCAAGGCTCAGTTTTGATACAAAATGAAAGTTTTTACCCTTCCAATTATGCACCTTTTGGAAGTTGATGACAACACACTACAGCATAAACTCGCACACAATTTGTGTAAGGTAAGAAAGCATACTAACTTGGCATGATCAAATAGGTTCCTATATGGTGGGAGGCTGACACCATTCAGTGAAAATATCAGCTCCTTATCCTCAAGGTTCAACAGTAGACCAATGGTGTCCCCTGTAAAAATGGAAATATATCATTAGTCCAATCACGATTCCTGTTACATACATCATAAATATGTGGGCAAAACAAGTGTCCTTTACATACAAAACAAACATTTTGGTCATTCAAGTGTCCTTTTACATACAAAACAAACATTTTAGTCATTCAAGTGTCCTTTTACATTGAACACAAACATTTTGGCCAATCACATCTCTTTCTTGTTATATGTCCTTTCACCTAAACACAAACCTTTGGGCCACTCATGTCTCCTGTGACATACAATGAACATTTTGGAGCTAATCATGTTTCTTGTTATATACAACACATGACTTAGGGCCAATCAAGTCCCCTTTTACATACAAGAAAAAACTTTTGGCAAATCAAGTCTCCTTTAACATGTGACTCTTCAAGCTAATCATGTTTCCTATTACATACAAGAGAGCATGTAAAATTTTCAGGTTCATACAACAAATAACAGGAGCCAGCTGCTTTTGTAACAGCCTAACCTGTAATAAAAAGATTTCATTCTGACATAATATTGGTGAAATCATTAGGATATGTACCATATAACATAAAATATTGGGAGTACAGAAACTTTGATTTTTCTGTTTATAAACAAACAAGGAATATAATTAATCAAACAAGACTTCAGATTAAAGCGTAATGTACAGTTATGTAATGAACATGAAAGATTTCATCCTTGCAACAACGTCATAAGTTTTAACTACAAAAAGCAGTACCGAGGAACCTTTCATGTTATACTGTAGAATACTGTAGGGACAACTGGTTTGTAATACTGTCAGTCATTACTGTCTGGAACTGACAAAAAAAAATCTCCTCTTTTAAATCTGAAATTATTTTAAATGTAACAAAGACAGATCTCACCCTATTACATGACTGGAAGTCTTTATTTTTTTAAAAATATTTGAAAACTGAAATGATTATGACAAGTTTTTCTCCTAATGGTTCAGTCTTGACATTAAAGTGAACAGTTTAATTGCCTTGGATAGTTTCTACACTGACAATTGTCTGAATGTTTCTTTCTTACTCAAAGTGTTTTCAGTTTTGTTTGTGCGAGGTAATTCACACTAAAAAAAAGTAATCTATTCGTGTTTCTCAAAAGACATTAATGGTTTTAGGTAGTTGGACGTCATGTATTATTGCAGTAGATCAGTGTTCTATGTCACTATAACCACATATAATGACAGACTACTAACACTTATACAAACAACCTCTACTGATAAAAGTCTTTCAACAAATATTGTTTAATTGACTGAAGATCATTCAACTGCTTTGTAAGTATCAAATCATTTATCATATTATTCCTACAACTTACCAATTAACAACAAACTTTATGGATTTGTCTGATATATATTTCGTAGCCAGTAGGTTTTTTATTTATTTCGTACTTTTTAATCTACCATTCCAACAGCTTACGGTAAACACTTGTATGGAATATCATCTAATTCAATGGGAGAATGAATCCCACTTCTCAGGAAACTGTGGTAACCTGTTACCAGAAAGGTAAGTCTGGGATGGTGACTTTAGGAAACTGTGGTAACCTGTTACCAGAAAGGTAAGTCTGGAATTGTGACTTTCAGGAACTGTGGTAACCTGTTACCAGAAAGGTAAGTCTGGGATTGTGACTTTCAGGAACTGTGGTAACCTTTTACCAGAAAGGTAAGTCTGGGATTGTGACTTTAGGAATCTGTGGTAACCTGTTACCAGAAAGGTAAGTCTGGAATTGTGACTTTCAGGAACTGTGGTAACCTGTTACCAGAAAGGTAAGTCTGGAATTGTGACTTTCAGGAACTGTGGTAACCTGTTACCAGAAAGGTAAGTCTGGGATTGTGACTTTCAGGAGCTGTGGTAACCTTTTACCAGAAAGGTAAGTCTGGGATTGTGACTTTAGGAAACTGAGGTAACCTGTTACCAGAAAAGTAAGTCTGGGATTAAATTGAAGTAACTGATGTAACATTTTACCACAAAGGTAAGTTTGATATTTTGACTTTATGGAACTGTAGTAGTCTGTTACCTCTCAACTTTCACCTCTGAAATATACATCATCCTTCATTAGTAATTCACTGTCTCTCCTACAAAATATTATCAGCATACTGACAAAGCGACACCATTTTTAAAGGACAATATTTTCAGGACTTATTTGTTGTCATTTTACTTACCACCCGTATATATAGGTGGGCTAATTAACAGGTAGATATGGTAGGTTAATTACTGAAGTCATTCCTGTTATGTTTGTAGTAAGGTATCAGTGAAAACATCAATCTAGAAGTTTCCTATTATTCTACAATTTTTATTATTACTTAATTCTACATGACGCTGTTTTCACGATTACTGTCATCACTAAGTAGAAATATCCACTTAAACTCCCTGTACAAGTGGATATCTGATAAATTTATCCAGTTGTGCTTGCCAGGGGGCATACCACTTACATAGGTGGGTGCTATAGCTTGTTCTAAACTCCATATCAAACCAATGCTGTTAACATTCACAGTAGAAAGACAAAGTAACTTTTCCATTACATGGAGTAGTAAAGCAGTGAAAACCTAGGGTATATGTAACAGGGTTTCTCAGTAGGGAGAAAACTTAGGGTATATGTAACAGGGTTTCTCAGTAGAGTGAACCTAGGGTATATGTAACAGGGTTTCTCAGCAGAGAGTAAACCTAGGGTATATGTAACAGGGTTTCCCAGTAGGGAGAAAACCTAGGGTATATGTAACAGGGTTTCTCAGTAGAGTGAACCTAGGGTATATGCAACAGGGTTTCTCAGTAGAGTGTAAACCTAGGGTATATGTAACAGGGTTTCTCAGTAGAGTGAACCTAGGGTATATGTAACAGGGTTTCTCAGTAGAGTGAACCTAGGGTATATGTAACAGGGTTTCTCAGTAGAGTGAACCTAGGGTGTATGTGACAGGGTTTCTAAGTAGGGAGAAAACCTAGGGTATATGTGACAGGGTTTCTCAGTAGAGAGTAAACCTAGGGTATATGTAACAGGGTTTCTCAGTAGAGTGAACCTAGGGTATATGTAACAGGGTTTCTCAGTAGAGTGAACCTAGGGTATATGTAACAGGGTTTCTCAGTAGAGTGAACCTAGGGTGTATGTGACAGGGTTTCTAAGTAGGGAGAAAACCTAGGGTATATGTGACAGGGTTTCTCAGTAGAGAGTAAACCTAGGGTGTGTGTAACAGGGTTTCTCAGTAGACAGAAAACCATGGGTATGTGTTACAGGATTTCTCAGTGTGGAGAATTCATGGTTCAGAGATAAAGAGCAAAAGCAAGGATATATATTTATCAGGTATTTGCTAAATCCCTGCACAGAGACTTGAGAGTATTGGCGAAACAGTGTGACAGTTTACACACACTTACTCAACCCCACTTTGGGGATAATTGTAGGCTGTCAAGACACTGATTGGCCTTGGAATTATTCTCATTCCAATTACTTTAAATACAAATATGATCTCCATAGAATGGGCAGTAGACTACCTAATCGGCCATGAGTTTTAAGGACCATTTAAATATAATTTACACCAACCATTTAAACGGAAAACTTTTCAAATTATTGCATAATTCATCATTTTTTTCTGTACATTTTGGTTGTGATCCAAGTAATTATTTAAGAAGATTTTTTTCTACATTTAGTCATTTAAGAGATGTTAACAAAGAGCGAATGATTTTCTAAAGTTGGTGAATGTATTGTTTCATGATTTTTATTTTCTTCAATAAGAACTTTTTCAGTTTAATGAGTTCTGAGGGTAAGAGACCCATTAACATCACGTGGTAAATTTCTTATTAGATGTACTTGTATTCTATATACTATTCCATACCAGTACATACGATTACACCACTGACCATACCATACCAGTACACCACTGACCATACCATACCAGTACACCACTGACCATACCACACCAGTACACCACTGACCATACCATACCAGTACATACCATTACACCACTGACCATACCATACCAGTACACCACTGACCATACCATACCAGTACACCACTGACCATACCATACCATTACACCACTGACCATACCATACCAGTACACCACTGACCATACCATACCAGTACACCACTGACCATACAATACCAGTACACCACTGACCATTACATACCAGTACACCACTGACCATACCATACCAGTACACCACTGACCATACAATACCAGTACACCACTGACCATTACATACCAGTACACCACTGACCATACCATACCAGTACACCACTGACCATACAATACCAGTACACCACTGACCATACCATACCAGTACACCACTGACCATTACATACCAGTACACCACTGACCATACCATACCAGTCCACCACTGACCATACCATACCAGTACACCACTGACCATTACATACCAGTACACCACTGACCATTACATACCAGTACACCACTGACCATTACATACCATTACACCACTGACCATTACATCACATACCAGTTTTACTGGTCAGCTGACAGTCTGACCATTATTGTAGATTTAAAGCCCCAGTATTCCCCTAATAGATCTTCCAAAGATTAGAGATGGTATCTAGAGAAAATCTACAGAGGTATGAAATTATGAATGGCAAGAGAAAAGGGTATAAAATGGCAGGAGAAAAACACTATCAAAGTCAAGTCAAACACATTTAAAAGCATTTAAGAGAAAACTATAACATTTAAACGACTCTGCGTATCATGTAACACTTGTAAATGGAGTGTTAGAGTGTTAGATTTTCGGGCCATGTTTCTTTGGACCAGCATTCTGGGGTGTTGGAGACATGTTGATCTTATGTCACTGGAAGACAAGTTTCCTTAGCAACCAACTCAAAATGATGTATACTGGAATCCCAGAAGAAAAGGATTTTGAACAACAAGGTTGTATCATTATTTACATACAGATTCAAACTGAACTTTAAATTATGTCAGTCAAACATCCGATAATTCTGATAAGAACAGCTGTATATAGTTTATGTGTTACAGAAAAGCTATGGAGTTAAGCAATTT